GTCTTTGTAGACTTAACGGTTTAACATGATAGATTTCAATCGAACCTTTGATAACAGCTTCTCCTTGGTAAGGAAAATTGCCCTAACATATATATTGTCAGACCATGACATGGGCGTTCTTCCTGTTTCACCAGATCCGTTTCTGACATTATTAATACAGACTTCATCTTCATCATCATCTTTCACTTTACCGTAGACACTGTAATCTTCCCCGTCAGGGTAAGCTGCATCTTCTCCATCTGCTGGTTCTTTAATATCTTCAGTTGAATCAGAACTGGCTGCCTCGTCATCAGTAGGATATTCTGCATTTTCATCAGACTCCTCATCTAAATCTTCATATGAGTCTTCCTGGTTCTCCTCAGTGTCCATCTTCACTCGTCTGGACACATAAAGACGTACCATATGCATTCTACTTAACGCAATCAAGCTTGAAATTTATCTGTCATTGGTGACATGCATTGGAGGTGTATCCGGAGTCATAGTTTGCAACATTGAATCTGGTAGGGAGTAGGATAGCTCGATTAGCTCAGTCTTCTTGCCCAAGTTATAATCATCTTGTGCCATTTCAGTAAGTTCCCAAAAGGTGCAACCATCCCTCAAAAAGAACATTCTTCCTCCTTTGCCACTATCCACCACAAAATGCCACGATTTCTCTGCCATCTTCCATTCTCCGTACACAACAGGTATTTGAGCCATTCTCTGAAAAACAAGCAGATAAACCATATTAGCAAACACTGAAGAAGGAATTTTATAGCTAGTAGACTTCTTTTGCAGAGAACATTCGTAGACTGTAAATGAAGTCTACTTTGATAAGCTAACTAGCTTAAAAATTAAAATATTCGATTCCGAAATAAATATCGACTTAAATCAAATCAAAATCATTGAATAGTTCAATCACTTGCTAACAAGCGTTACAAAACCAAAAATTTTAAAAACAACTTTATAAATGAGCTAGAAAAGCGTTTTTAAAATAAATACAATAAATAGACTTCTCCTACAGACTTCATAGATAGACTGAAAGAGAAGTCTACTTTTTCATGTAGAAGTCTGCAAAAGAAGTATACTATAAGAAGGGTTATTTTTGCAATTGACCAAAACGTTGACTATTTCGTAATAGACTTGACTTGTAAAGTTTCAACAAAAAAGGTTAGTTTTGCATTTGACCAGGCCATTGATTTTTGGAGTAGACTTTAAAAGTAGACTTCTTATATGAGTAGACTTTTTAGACAGTCTACTATTGAAGTCTACTGGATTGAATAGAAGTCTACAAGTTAAAATAGGTTATTTTTGCAATTGATTGTTCATAGTAGACTTCAGTGGGAAGTCTACTAAAAAAATATTCCTTTGTTGTTTGACCAAAATTTAAGTAGACTTCTGAACGAAGTCTACCTTGCTTTTAGACTTCATCCTGAAGTCTACAACATTTTTCTGGACTTTTTTTTTTTTAAAAAATTCTATTTCAGTCAAACACAAAAATAACCTCGACAATTTTGGTCAAAGACAAAAATAACTTAAAAGTAGACTTCATGCGCAGACTTATAAAAAAAACTTCATAAGATAGTAACTATTTAAAAGTCAAAATAAGGCCAACTACAAAAATACCTCTTTTCTTCCATAGACTTCTTGCGACTTCAAACGAAGTCTACTAGATTTTTTTTTTTTTTCAAAGGATATCAAGTAGACTTAGTCTGCTGGTTACAAATTTATAGAAAGTCAATTGCATAAATAACCTTCCTGAAGTCTACTTTTGCGATACAAATATAAAAATGGGAAGAAATCGAAGTGTATCATTACCTATATCGGTTTTGAGTTCGCCTTCGGTTCTCTTAAGCACTCGGAACTCAGAATTTCACCAAAAATAAACAATCCAGGTCTCGATTAAGTTAAAATCACCGAAAATGCATAACCTTTGACTTTGTAAATCAGCCCAGAAGTTTTGGAGAAGAAATTATGAAAGAATAAGGAAGGTTATAAATGTATGAGCTCTCATATTAACTTATTACAGCTTTAAAATAGGTTGAGAAGCATTTATTCCATATTCGGGGTTGTTTATGGCGGTTGAATGTATTGAAGAAGATGACATTTTCATAGTAAAAAGGGGTTTAGGAGGTTCAAAGAGTCTTTGTGTAATTTTTAAAAATCGAAATAATGGTATATAATAGCATTTTCTTTATGAATAGATAGGGAAGATAGAATTGGACAAAATGCCAAAAATTA